TGTGGTCTTTTCTCATCCGCACAGTGCTGCGCCAGTACAGGAATCCCCTCGGATGTGGCAGTCCACATGACCAGCCATACCGCGAACAACAAATGAGGATTGAAAGAATGGAATGGTGCGAGCACAATTGTTCGTATTTTATCCGCTTTTGTTCCTTGCTTTGTGACAAACAACAACACAATATGATTTGTGACTAGAATCCGGCCTGATTGGTTGGTGTTGGATCTGGTGCGCTGGGCAAGGGAGGTCTTGGTGAGGGAATTAAAATAATTGATAATTGGTAATTCACAAGTGCTTAAACACTTTCAATGAAACAAAAGAATATATATAAAAAAACATTTGCAGTAATTTTTGGAGAACAAGTACGTTTCTGACCGGAGTGGTGGGTTTAGAGGAGGGATGCGAACAGAACAAGAGGCAAAGTGTAATCCGGAGCATGCGATTTGATTTCGCTCAACTTGGTTTGCCGTTACAAATACAAAATACAGCCCCTTCAAATTTGTTCCTGATGCAACACTACTTGTTGACCGATTCCAAAGTGACAATGGCAATGCCCTTCGTTGACAAAGCAGACAGCGCCTGGTTGACCGGGGACCGGCTGAAATCCGTGCTCGGCAGTGAACACACGACTGAGATCGTTCAGTTTGATCACATAAACATCGCTGCCGTCCCGTTTGTCGCGAAAATGCACAGTGATTGTCCCTGAGAAAATGGTTTCCACACGAAATTTCCCATCATATTCGTCCTCAGAAATGACAAGTTCGGCAGTTGTCCGACAACCCGGGGGAACGATTACCTAAGTGGGAAAACACGAAATCAAGTCATTAGGGAGTGGGGAGCAATTCGGACTGTAAAATAATCAAAACGTTCGTTCATATAACAGCCAATTCTAAATGAAACACCGACAAACGCTCTAGCTCAAGGCTCACGTAAGTTATCAGCTCCATAAAGTTTATGGAATTTAGGCTTTTCTGAATGCAGTATGAGACACTATTCTCAAATGAGACTCCTTTGTTCAGTGTGAACGTGTCTACTTTATGAGAGTCTAAAGGTCGAACACAGTAAAGGTGTTAGCAAACAAACAAATCGTGAGAATAAACGACTGGATTAAGGTAAAGACCCAGACCCGGATAAAACCCACAGCGTGTTTACATGTAGGCGTATATGTGTGTGTGTGGCGCTTTTCGATAGCCATATAAATGCAAAATGTAGAATGCAGCTTGCTCCTGCAGACTGGGGGTGATAAAGGGGTTCTTTACGGTCGCTGTCATGTGATAGTTGATTAAGGTGCTTGATATTCGTTTCATAGCAGGTGTAGGAAAACGATATCTCGGGTATAGTTTTAAGTCATCCTCTGGTGCGTTAATAGGATCTGTTACAAAACCAGTTTGATAGAAGTGAGTTTGTTCTTTGGACTCTGATAAAGTCCCACACATGAAACTCGTATTCAATAAGCTCTCGAACATCCAAATGTAAGACCATTTCGCCTATTCACGAATGATTTTCTTTTCAAAGATAACTGGCAGGTTCCACCTTCTGCATTAAACTAACTCGGTTTATCAGATGAACAGTAAAAAGAAGATCAGGATGACGCGTTGTATTGATTATTTTCAAGTAAAATACAGCCCGATTGATATCCAATGCCTTCTACCCGCGTACAATCATTCATCCCATTTGTTCGCCTGGATTCACGAAACTCAGTCAACTACTGGCAAACTTTCGTTAGTTTCGATTTCATCGGTAGCTGAACAACTGAAGAGAGCAGAACAGTGTGTTGGATGCGATTGGAATTCAGTTTTATTAC